CTCCACCCACCCTCTCTCTCTGTCCTTATGTCACATAAGGACAATTATCGATCGGAACAAAATGAAGAGAAGGACATGCGGATTCAACATGATTTTGTTTGCAGTAGATCTTTATCTTGATCAGAGCACTGTGGAAAGCCTCCATTCTGTGTGGTTGCAATAGCAGGAAACTGGTGGAGAAGTCGACATCCACACTACGAACTTAGTTTGTTTATCCGGTGTTTGGATGGTTTCATGCTGTGTGTCTGCACATGCATACTCAATATTCACCATTCCATCTTCCTAGTGTTGGTGGGATCCCTCCATCTTCAAGTGTCACATCTGTTCATCTATTATGTCACACAGCTTTGTGTGTGTGTGTGTGTGTGTGTGTGTGTGTGTGTGTGTGTGTGTGTTGCGAGCATGCATGCCTCTGTGTGTCATGTTTGAGTATGCATGTACGATCCCAGGGGTGTTTTATTTATTTATCTCTTGAACAAACAAGGATGACAGCGTGCTCTTGTGTGCCGCTGCGTCCCCACAGAGATGTTCCCTCCCATGTCCGAACAATTCCTGGGCTTGCTGCACGCTGGGTAGAGCCCCGAGGAATCAGCACAAATGTCAGGCCCGTGCCGCGTCCTTAAACGCATCGTGATAAATGTGAGTTGACACAGACAAGCGCTTTACACAAGGGGCTTTCATTTTTTCAATGTACATCCAACGACAACATGTTTTTTTTCAAATGCATTCATCAGACAGAATTAACATAATATTTTTGTCCTCCACATATATTAACTGTGACATAATATTCGGTTTGTTCCTCTGATTTAAATGACTCAAAGTTGGAAGTCAACCCTGCATGCAGGGTCCCCTTTTCCCTTGTGTGGTGTGTTTTGACATTTTTCATGCCTTTGCTCATTCTGAGGATTATATAACTGCTGCCGTACTTATTCTACATATTTTCAGATATTTGAGGCGGTTGCATGCAAAGGCAAATCCACGCACTGAGAAGAAACAATGGCGTATCTATGATGACTGCCGCCATGTTTGATAACTAGATGATTTGTGGCATTTTTCTGGGAAGGACACATCCTGCTATTGTCCTAATACTGCATCTTAGCACACATACAAGAGGCCTTAGAGGAAGGAGGATTCACTTCTTACTTTTAAAAAAAAGCACTCAACACTCACTTTTTCAATCTGCGTTTAATGTCCAACCATTTTACTTGTCTGTCATTACTGCTTAATTGGCTATTTCTATGATGTCCGTTTCTATTTTATCCCCCTTTGTAAAGTGTCAGAGTTTTTTTGAAACACGCTTATTTAATAAAATGTTTTATTAATATTATTATTGGAAGAAGCTGATGGGGCAGAACTGCCTTTTTCAGCACACTTCCTTGTCTATGTGTCTCAGTTAATCTGAGCTGATTTCTGCCATCCACACACACACACACACACACACACACACACACACACAATTGAATTATCCTGGAATGCCCCATATTACCCTGTATTCCTCCAACTGACTGCATAGTTGATTCAGTCCTTACTGTCAACTCAACTGAAAACAAACAGCAGCTGGCCAGGAGAAACTCCAGGAAGACATTTGTTTTTATAAAGCGAACATGGAGCGAGCAGGTTTGTTTTGCTGGAAGTGGTTCTCTTCCTCTCTTGCCTTGGCCCCGGGCCGTGGGCCCTCTCAGAGCCTGGCTGGCAGAGTGGAGGAAGGAGGTTGACTGGCTGTCAACTGGATCCACTGGCACTAGGAGCCTCCGGCCCAGCCTGAACCCAGGCGGTTCACAGACACTGCTGCCGGGGCAGTCTGCCTTCACCCTGCTGACGTCAGTCACCAACAGACCACAAGACTTGTGTTAGAGTTTCAAACAAACTCTCTGCCCATTGCCATGGCAGTAAGGACCACCACCATGGAAAACGCTCGTCCCCGTCTGCTCCTGTGTTTACCATAAACAGTTGCCTCATTTTTCGTTGAATCCAACGGAAGCAGAGGATGGTTTAGGTTTCCGGTTATCATCCAGACATCCACAAACTCCAAAGTAATAACAATCTAACATCCTCTTCAAAATGTGACCTGTGATTTATTCTTTGATTATGTGCAGTACATTTTACAGGTCAGTACATTTTGCATTGTGTCAGGAACAGAGGATATCTTGTGAGTGCTGCCAGTTTTCTCTCCCACCAGGTAGTCTCTCATAGCCAAGTAATGAGTACCTTTAAACCTGTGTAACCAGATGAACACACTAAAAAACCCGCCAAACAAGCAGTGCTCTGTATCTCAGGACCTGAGCTCAGAGCTAATGGCAATAAAAAGTATTTTGGAGTATTGATCAAGGATTATCAACCCAATAGAGAAAATCTAAATAGCCGCAGGAGAGCCGTTGCTTTTACATAATATGAGCAGTGAAGAGTAGATTTCATCAGTAAGTGTCTTCCCTCCTGTTTTGTTTAGCTTACTCGCGAAACAAAATCTTTAAATGCCTCTCCGGCCGCGTGCCAGTTTTACCCAGCAGGACCTCCTGTTGATCACGTATTCCAGATGCTTATCTGCTTGGGTCAAGGTGCTCGCAGCCATGGGAGAGTGAGTGCCCTGAGGGCCCTGCACATAGCATCGCTATCTCTACCCTTCCTGTTTACATTGCTGGCTGGCTGGCCCGGCAGTTACTGAACTCAATTTAGAGGGAAGACGTGTCAGTGGTGTCACTGCAGGGAAGTGATTGTCATTTCCACCTGGTTTTTCCCTCAGAGTTGCAAAACTGGAACCATGATGTCAATAAAACCAGAGCAGTCTTTATTATTGTAATTACTGACAATTAACTTTAATTGTGTGATGTCGTGAAAGGCAAGGATCTTCAACTTAATGAAAAGAAAAGCAAGGTAATCACACTTGTCCCTCCCAGCTCTGTCACCGGCTGAACAAAAGCTGATTTGCATAAAGTGGTTAAGAAATTGGTGTCTCTTCGACACTGACGCATTGAATTTCTCATCCGTTTCTATCTCATGAGGACCTGGAAACAGTTATCCAACCCTTCATCACGTCTCAACGTCACTTCTGTGATTCTCTGTATATGGGGTTGACCCATTACACCCTTCCTGAACTCCAAATGGTAAAACAAAAATGCAGCTGCTAGACTTTTAACAGGAACAAAGAAAAGACAACAATCCACCTTTTTCTTTGTTGCTTTTAGTTTGGTCTGAAGTGGTCCCATGGTTTTATATATATATATATATATATATATACATACACACACATATATATATATATATATATACGTATATATACACACACATATATATACACATATATATATACATATACATACATATATATATATATATATATATATATATATACATATATATATATATACACACACACACACTGTATATATAAAATATATATATGCTTTGTTTGCTAATGTTATCCAATAATACACAGACGAGAACATTCTGTAATACATGCCCATTTTATTAATCTGATAGAAAACATTTGTTGAGCACAACATACACAATTTTACCATATAATGTGAGGAAAAACACTGAAAAAATATATTTGAAACAATGTAATATATTCCAGCAAATATAGCTGTACAATGACCAGTCACCATACACAAAATACTGCAGTAAATATCCAGCCTTCATCATCCACCAGGAACAAAAGAAAAAAACAAAACGCCAGACTTCTTCTGCACCACACCAGCTGCGGTTGCTTCAGACTGTTCACAATTCTCTGGCTAGAATTTCAAAATAAAACATCTCAAATGATCAAAATTGAGCTGCATAACTTCATGTCACGGTCGTATAGCAAAACGGCTCGCTGAATACAATAAAACAGAACCACCAGACAAGTTCACTCAAACTGTGATTTGATACTTGGTAGTGCATATAAATAATAACAAATATACAGGAAATATTAACAATCAATATCATCATATACAAGGAGAAAGATAATAAATAGTGTTACAAACAGCTGAAGGGTCGGCACAACGCTGGGTGCAACAAGATTGTGCAACTCTGTTTACACACACACACACACACACACGCGCACACACACACACACACACACACACACCGGAGGTATCATGTCATGACACGATATTGGCACCCCCCCCACCCTTTATTGTGAAGGTTGCACCTTACATTGTGGTACCTTTAAGGTAGTGTTGGACAGATCAGCAACCAGCTGCAAACTGTCGACATATTCAAAGTGCTGGAATAAAAACTACAAGATACAATTATTATATTACCAATAGGTGTCTTTTTAAAATGTGCACAGTCTACAGTCACTCAGAACTCAAAATGAGTCACGGCGTGAAGCCTATTCATAAGAATGCTGTTAACACAACAGGTGTGTGTGAGCTGACGAAACCGGGGATTACAAGGCGGAAACAGATTTCTAACCTTTATGTGAGATATTTATGGTGAAATTCACTAAATAATCGGCTTTCATTTGCCTGAACTCTTCAAACTTCTGACCAGAAGTGAAACTGATCCCTGACATGTAGCAGGATGATTTGTTTCACTACTGACTCTTCAAGCAATGAAATCATCAAAGTGCTTTCTTTACAGGATCTTTGGAGTTTTGTTTCTCTTGAGATGTTTTTGGACTCAAAAATACAAAATGTTTTTGTTTTTTTTACCTTTTCAAAGAATTAAATTGCTTATGAAATGAATTATTGGAGAAAAAAAACCAAACATGTTTTACATGTTTACTTTAATGTCTCTTTGTCAGATGGCACAAAGTGCAAATTGTGCTGGGAAGTCGTCTGATTTTAGAAATACATCCACTGAACAAGTTTATACTATTGCCAGAACACGAGGAAGACTGTGTGAGAGAAACGCGTCCTTATTGTAGAAAAGTTGACACATTTTACAGCTACATGAACAAGTTCAATAAATTATAAAAACACTTACAAAAAGAAACAGTTGTTAAAAAAAAAAAAAAAAAAGGCACAAAACTTTAGAAAAAAACTACTTGGGTACAAATAACTTGCTGACGAGTAGTTTTTGGTTGGACATCTTACCAGGTGGCATCCCATCCCGACACAATACAAATAATTAAAATGAACATAAAAAAACGTCCTGAAGTGCAAGTTTGGAATTTGTACTCGTCCCAGTACACGGACACATATTGTCCTCCTTCTTTGTCTGTGAGATTCAGCCCTGCCTCTGCAGTCTGACGGTGGTCCCTTCTTTAAAGAACACACCTCTTCCGGCTCCCTTCTCGGGGGCTCAAAACAAACTGCCAAAGGGGTTTCCAAGCCTCGTTTGCACGGGTGCCCAACATTCAGTCAGGCTCTCTTTGCCAGGCAGCTCCAAAGAGCGATATTGCAGGATTGCTCTACTGCAATTAAATGATTTCAGCCAAAACAGCAAAACATGCTGCGCTCTGAGAACACCATCAGTTCAGCTATGTTTCCGCAGGTGAGACGTCACACGTCGTCATTTCAACCCCGTCCTGATCGGAGGCATGTTGTTGGGGTATCACACTGACAGTCATCTCCATCATGGAGCTCTCCCCGTCTCCACCCTGGTCATCCAGCGTCAGCTCAAACTGAAATTTACTCGCCACAGGTCCCCCCTCCACCTCCTCCTCAAGCGAGCCGCCCTCCCCGTCACTGGAGTCGAACGGAGGGGAGGGACTCTGGGGGATCATGCGCTGGTACCAGTTCCTGTTGTCCTCCAGTGTGTCCAGGATGTCCTGGGCGTCGGGGTGGACCAGGTCGGCCCACGTCTCCCACAGAGGGTGGACAATATAATCGATGAAACCAACCTAGAAAAGATTTTAAAAAAGAGAGGATGTCAGTAACATGAAAAACAACAACAACAAAATTCTATTTTTGGAGCTAAATGTGCGTCTTCTCTACCTGTGTTCTCTCCACCGAAGCTGTGTGTTTGTCGCACATTGGACTGATCTCCATTCCCCGTTCTCTCTCCCTGTCTCCCTGGTGGAAAAACTCATTCATGATCCTGTCTGTCCACTGCCGGTACAGATCCAGAGGCTTAGTCGGGTTGCTCAGGTCCGCACAGTGAACCATGTTACGCAAAACCTGCAAAGACAACAAAAACAATTTAAATAAATAAATCCACATAGTGCCTCTCTTTCTTGTGTGCCAAACTGTCTGCATCATGTGGGTGGACTAGCATGCTTCTTACCTGCATCCTGTCGGTGTAGTTGTCCAACAGCAGAACTCCAGAGCTCGTCACTTTCTTGGTTTCCACCATCGTCTTCAGATTAGCTAGCAGGCTCATGTGTTTAGACATGTCAGTTGCCAGCACCTGGAGGAGAGAAAGACACAGAGAACCATGTAAGAAATAATTTAAGAGGGAAGCAATAAAGCAGTCAAGACATCACCCTGAAAGCTAAAACTCGGATCAGACAGATGTGCGGACAGTTTTCCTCACCATGTCGATGACCATCCTCCGGAGCGTCTGCCTCTGTTTCTTGGTGAGGTTCTGGAAGATGTCGCAGTTGTCCTCCTGCAGCAGTTTGAAACCCACAGCCAGGTGGTGGTTCTCCAGCACCGACTCATCGTTGTACATCAGAGCCAGCTCGGAGTCTAAAAGGCAGAGGAGGGAGGGGAGAGCGACAGGAAGAAAGAAATTAAATTGGCGCTCTAGCGTTTTAAACTGAGGTCAGTTAACCATGCACTCTCTAAAAACCAATATTTTTGCCTTTGGAGCCAGATCCCATTAAACCATGCAAATATTTCTGTAGACTAAACGGACGAGAAGTGACAGTAAAGTGGACTCACTGGTGTTGATGAGGAACTGGTTTGACACTCCTGGGTGGTCCACGTCGTGAATGGCTGCAGCAAAAATGGCTGCCAAGATCTCCAGATCTGTGAAGACCGCCTGTGTTGGAAGAGAAGGAAGAAAAATAAGAAGCAGTTAACTTCACAGTCAGTAAACTGGCCAAACAAGGGAAGGTATCAGACAATTGTTTGAGGCCGATACCGCCATGAGTCATCCTTCCTGGCATGCACTTTCTGGGGCATGCCAGTATTAGTGACGACACTTCCAGTCACTTCATTAAAGCATAACAAAGAGCTTGAGAAACAGCTGCAGGCGATGGTAGACAAACTTTAATGGTGTCACATGTCAATCATACAAGTAACCAGAAGGTAACTACGTGTCAATTTGGCAGCAACGAACAGCAAAAATGCAGCAATTTCCAGCTTTACTTTGTTACTAAAAAAAAAAATTGTGACATTGCACGGTGACTTACATCCAGTGCAGGAGTTGACAGGAGGATGTGTGTGGACTGGGCTACGTCAGCGGCGTGCAGGCTGTTGTGGTAAGCCATGTCGGAGTGATAGTGGTCCTCCAAGGTCAGCATGAACGTCACAAAGGTGTCAGTTGGAATCTTGAACGTCCTCATCAGGTCTCGCTCCTGCATACGACAGAGGAAGAAGTGTGTAAGCATCTCCTAGAAGTGGATGTTTTTCCGCCAGCAGACTAGTGATCGGACCTTAAAAATCTATTCCTAAAGCATATTTAGCAAATCGTGAATCACACCATTACTGAATATGAAGGCTGAATATGAAAACAGTTTGCCCTCCTGCCAGGATGATTCACAGCTAGAAATCAATTTCAAGTGCTAATGTCCCGCTAGCAGATGTCCCTGTAGCGATGCTGACAGCTGAACATAACAGAGAACATACTGTACAAGCTGACGTGGGCTGTGCCTCACGCCTTCTATAGAAGCATGTGTTTATGAACGCTTTCGTGCTTCTTCTTATGAGCTCTTTCTGACTGGACGATGAGGAGGATGAAGAGGCAAGGCACTGACCTGAAAGATGGAGTACATGATGCATGTGAGCGGTCGGTTGTGGGAGTGCTCGGTCACTTTGAAGATATTTAGGCCCCATTTGTTTATGTCCTCCAGGTCCTGTTCGAGGATAGACGAGACAAAGTGTTTCAGCCAATCGCACAACTTTCATGTTATATCTTTTGTTTCGCTTAACAACCCGCCAATCGCTTACCTTCGACAGGAGTTCCTCCTGGTCCGTCTTGACCCCAAAGCGATTGCTGGTGGTTCCAGGGATGCTGGGTGTGTTGCTGACCTTCCTCACCCCACTGATCTGAGTCATCATCCCACCCGGTTGCTGCTGCTGCTGTTGCTGCTGCTTTTGGCCCTGTCTCCTCTTCCTTTCCCTCGACTTAGGAACTGGACACGGAAGTTCCAACTCATTATGCTTGTCTGCAGAAGATAGAAATAGAAGTCACAAAATAAGATTTTAAAAAGGTGCTTTTCAGTTACTCCAAGGACAAAAAAAAAATAAGCTAGGGTTTGTTGTATAAGCCTCCTGGCTTGTACTGAGTAAACAAAGTTAACACGGGGAGATAGTTGACCTCTCACACCTACGTGGCAACACATTAAAGCGGCACTGACAGTTGTTTAATTAGCAAGCAATCCTTCAGTTACAGTTAACTTTGCTAAAAATAAATTCCTCTTGACGGTGAAAAAGCAAAATGCTTTCAAGAAGTGCTACTTAGATGTTATGATATCTGACAATGCTCCAGTGGCCTGTGCATTCTGAGAAACAGAGCCCTGATGGAACAATAACAACACACAGAGTCATGGATGCTGGCTTACATTAGGCCAAAAATGTTTATGTCAAACAGTATTTCTTCGTTAGTATGCAGGGTGTGTTTGGTTAATGTGATTGAGTTTCTCTGCTGGCTGAAAGAGATTCTCACGCAGCCGACAAGTGTGTGAGATGGCAAGACTCCCTCGGTCTGAATTTGTGCACCACATACACCGCAGCGAGAGAAGAATATCTCGGCTGCATCCTCCGCAAAGCGCAGGAAGACAAAAAATGATCTCATTACACCTGACAGGTGTTAGCTGCAATACAGACGACAACAAAACCACTAAGCTTCAAAGACGAGTGTCTCTCTGCGCTCGTCTCTTCTCCCCAAGCAGCCCTATCATGCAGCGATCTCGCTCACTGCACCACCTCTATTGTTAGGAGAGGTACGGTTTCTTCACAATGCATCCAGCCTCTCTTCCCTTTTAGGCTTCGCTGTTTCCCGAGGCGAGAAGATGGAGGCGTGTTTACAAGCAAGAGGAGAACATTCGTCTGCTCACAGCCCAGATAAGCTGGCTGGTCTGGGCTGTGTGCTGGTGGTGAGTCGGATGGGAAGGTGGAAAACCTGAGGGGCAGACTGGCTGGCCGTGAGTCACGAAACGCTGCCGGGCTTTTTGAGAGACGAGGAAACACGGCTGTCCTCCAGATGAATAATGCATGATGGCACTGTGTGCACACAAACAATCTCCCTCTTCCCCGCTCATTGCCCCTGATCCCTCCAGAGGGAAGTCTTCCACGAGTATAACCACCCCCTCCCTCTCCACATCGCTCTGCAGTCAGAGCGAGGGGACTCTTCCCCCCCCCCACCAGACCAGATCAGACTGGTTTGAGAGCAGTGGAGCAGATTAACTACGATTGTCTCCGCTACTTGGCACATGCTTTGGGTAACCTCTGACGCATATAAGACTGTACGTGTCATTACTGAAGGATAACGGCACATTTAAGTATGTTGCACTTATGCAAATTAGAATTTGTGTCTGAATAAGTGCTGCAGTGCTCACCTAGGAAGGTGTTGGAGATGTACTCTGAAACTTGGTTGCCTGAGCGACTCATCTCAGACAGGTGGCTTAGCTCCCGGTTCAGCATCCTCTTGAACTGGAGGCACAGAGATAGAAAAAAAAAATACATAAGGTTAAATGATCTTTACAAGGTTTCCGAGCAAAGGAATAAAGCACTTCCTGTTATTTTCCACTGTCCCATGAGAACATGGCCTCTGTTTCTTAATGCGCCATATAAGGTTAGTGTTTATGTCTTCTTGGTCCTGGCTTGAATTAGCCACGAAGACAATTGACTGCCGAGCATTTCAACAACAAAAAACACATTATATACAAATAATAATAATAATAATATACAGAATACATTGTCATCATTTTTATGTTTATGAGTGTTTCCAGGGAATCAAACACATCCAAGTGTGCAATCAAAACAGATATTTCACCAGCTACAGTGAAAACACCTGAATATACCGTATGTGCATGCACACCCACACACACGTCCCATCTATGCCAACTCTCCTCTGAGACACACCTTGATGTATCCCCAGGACATAGAGAACAGGTAGTTGGCCTCAGGCATGGTGCTGAGCTGTGCTGAGCCCCTGGCGCTCCCCAGCAGAAGCCCTGTATGCTCCTCTCTGAGTGGACCCCCAAGGCTGAGCTCAGCCCTACAACCTGAAGCACAAAGCGGCACCAAATCCCCGCCTTCCAGCGGTCGACTGCGGTAAAAATGCCCCAGCTGAAGTGTCTAGAGAGGGGCTGTAGCGGACCCCCACATCTCTATCCAAATGCGCCTCCTCATAGCGTCGCCCACTGTTTTCCAGGACTGCAAGCCGTTGGCGAGAGTGATGGAATCCCCCTGGTTGCAATCAATATTTCCTTTGCTTTTCTTCGGTTCTCACTGCCTCTGTCCGTCTCTCTAAACCTCTTTATTCTCCTGCAACCATCCAAATGGCATCCAGTGACATACAGGGGGGGGAAAATCCAGCCTTCCCAAGCCCGGATTTAGCAAGGCAGGGAGGAAGGGCAGGCTGGTAGACAGAGGGAGAAAGGAAACGAGGGACAGAGAAAGGCGGAAAGGAGGGGGGGCGAGCGCTAGCTGTAGAGTCTCCTGTGGCAGACTGATGGATTCTCTCTCTCTCTCTTTGCCTCCCAGCCTCGCTAAACATTGAGCCATGCACAGCACTGCAGATAATCGGAGTTTGGAGAATCCCCCCACATCTTTCTCTCCGTCTCTAGCTTCCTCCCTCACTCCTGAGCTCTCTGCAAACCCCCTCCCACGGTCTCTTCGGCCCTCCCCAACTCGGATTCCCTCCCTTCCCGATTGGCTCTTCTTGCTCAGTAATGCAGAACAGATCCGACGCATACTGCGCAATGTGAGGCTTCAAAGCGTTTATCACGTGGATGAGGAGACGCCGCGTATTCATTTACCAGATTGGGGTGAAGTCTTTATTTTTGCATATTGCATGAACTGCTGTACACGATCCAGTTCATATTCATTCCAGTACATTTTAAAGACCTGTTCTTGTTCTCAATGTCAGCTATTGTCTCCCCCAACTGAGGTGATGGGAGACAAACGGATGAGAGTTTTCAGACTGCCGCCCACTAGAGGACCACCAACTGCACGTCAACCTGAACGCCATGGCAACAGAGTCACGTGGCCCATGCCATCGTTCTCACGGTGGTCCCCCCCCCCCCCTAAACTCATTGCATCACATCACACACAACTATGTACAACACACAATCTGTAGCAGAGATGCACTGGATTGACACAACTAGGCTAGACATTGTGAAAGCACACAATCAAGGACACAGCTTCTGTTACAGAAGGCAGATTCTGATGCAAAATAGCTTTTCTTGTCAACAAAGAGAAGCAGTAATGCAAAAACACACCCGAATCTGTATAATGAATGCAATGGGATATGGTGCAATCAATCCTTCAGGGCTGTTTTAGTTCGTACAATGGGGTCCTTTCCCTTCTGATCTCAACAGCTGTCTACTAGTCAAGCAGACTGCTAACATCTACTTGACTGTGAAACTAGAATACCACTTTCAACATATGGGCTGCTTTTAAATCCCCCAACTGCCAGAGGCGGTCCATAAAAATCAAAGAGAGCTCATAAGGATAAAAAAATGTGAGCTTGGAATGCGAAAGACTTTATTCCATTCAAAGGGAGCTTGTAATTGATTCTTTAAGTGGAGCAGCATGGATTTGTGAAACAAATCAGCCACAGAGACACATTTCAGTCACCCGGGGTGATTAAGTTCAGATCAGACGCACAGCATGATGACCGGTCTATGAGTGTGTTCAGGACAGAAGATTACCCAATGCATGGCGTTAACTCATACATCCTTTTACGTCAGCAAAGAGGGCTCACACGGAGCTTAGGCAACCTCGAGAAGTTTCGTTCACTCAAAAAAAACAACTTGTGGTTAGTTCTCAGAAGATGATGAGCGGATGCCTCATAAACTTTGAATATTCAAAGTAGGCGCACACTGGAGTCACTGTCTCGCAGTGTGGCAATGCTAACTAACTCATTTACATTAACACAAAATGTGTCGAAAGTGTTTTTAAAGCTAAATATGCCACCACACCACTGTTTAGTCTTACTGGCCGGAATCCAAACAAGCCAAGAAATTCTCAATGCAATGAGTAAAATAAAGCAAACTAAACTCAACATTTAACCATGTTCTTCAAAGAAACGACCGCTGATCAAATGAATTAAAGAATACATTTTTTTATGAATGACTTCATATATAACACTCTCCATATGGCAGACCACACTCTCACAGAACAATGCAAGCGGCTCAAAAACTAACTCACCTTTTTCAAACTTGTAAGCATGCCAAAGTTTTGCATCTGATTTTCAGAACATAGTCCCATTGTCACTTAACACAAGCCAAAATAAATCCTGGTAACTTTCACGAAAAAAATAACTGTTGGTCTGAGACTCTGCCTGCTTCCTCCCTCGATTCTCTTTTCTGAAGTGGAGTCAGGCAGGAAACATATAGCGACTTGACTGACTGGCCTACACAGTCTAACAAAAGGTCGATAGCTCCTCCCTCCGACACAGGCCTGCATATGTGTCACCACCTACTTCCCTTTAACTTGAGAGTAATTTAGTCCGTTTACTGGCAGACATCCCGCTTCCTAACAATGGCCTCAGGCACCAAACAACTAACATACCTGAGTTCATCACTGAAAAGTCACAGAAAACGTGTTTAGCACACAATCAGCCCTGCGGCAAGAAAGTCAAATGGACAAGTTTCCAAGCTCAGTTCTCACAGCACACTTTGAACTTGACTGAAGCAGAACAGAGACGGAGAGGACTGCGTATCGCAATACCTCTGCTGTGCAATCTGACAAAGTCCAGAGTGATCCAATGCTGCCTCTGTCCCATGCGTGGATGTTTACAGTGCCAACACACGGTGGATGACACCCAGCGAGTTTTCACAGTTCAGCAACATTAGAAAGAGACATTTCCTAGAAGGTGAAAGCCAGTTTCATATTTACCTTCCGAAGGCTTATTTTCCATGATATCAGCAGATTTCAGAGGTAAAACCTTTCAATTACAAGTGGGCACCAAAATCACAACAGCAGCTCGTCTGATCTGCTCACCACCCTTTCAGTCAAACTGAATCACAACACTGTAATTTAATGTCCATTACCGTAATTTAATGTCCATTACCGCTGCAGCAGCTACAGACCCACCGCTACATCTGCTTCAATCATTTTGTAATTTTTTTCCCCCTCTGAAGACGGCGGTACTTTAAAGTTGAAGTGACCACACGTGAGTTAAAGTTTCCTACTCGCTCGCGCTCTTGCTCGAGGGGGGCTCGCTCGCACGCTAACCCGCAAAGCGCTAAGCTCCTCTTAACTGGATTCAGATGGCAGTGTTTGTCCAAGGCCGTCACCAGCATCGGCATTGGAAGTGTGGCGAGGCTAATGATAGTGAGGGTGCAGGGGAGCCGCTCCCACGCTCTGAGGTCACAGCGACCAGGCTGGCGGTCAGCAGGGTGTGTGGTCCCCCGTAGCCCCGGGAACACCTGTGCCCTTGGACACCCAATGTGGAGACACCCTGGGTTTGATCGTGGGCTCGATTACATCCTCTGGTTCCGAAAAGAAAACGGGCTCTTTGTCAAAACATCACGTCATTTAAATGCTGGAAAGCAGCAAAAGCCTGCAGATGCTGCATCAACGGTGCAATGATGAAATGATTTTGCAAGCGGACCAACAAAGGATTTCTTTCCCTCCCTGTACAATTGCACAACGATGTAGAACAGCGCCGAATCTTAACTGTACATCATAAACTGTTGACCCCTCTCAAAACGTTGGTCAACAATGCTTAGCGGTGGTGCTGGGTCATACCGGGAGGACTCTGACTCAGGGTGAACAATGTGCCCGGCCTGCCTGACCGAGTGGATGTGCTAGTGTGCGTCTGCAGGGCCTTGTGCTCATTGTCTCGACAGTCCCAGTGACGCTTGGTTGTCTGTAAAGACTCAACCTGGCTGCACATGGCCAAAGCCAAGCTATTGTCGTCGGGGAGCAAAGGAGCAGAGGCGAGGGGGGGGGCACGGGATATAAAGAGACAGGAAACTGGTGTCACGGTCACAGTCACCCGTTATGGTCCGACAACACCCCTCCCCCTCCCAATCCGCCCTCAGACCACAGTGTAGAATACAGACGGAAATGGACAACACCACCCTGGGTGTTTATAATCTGACGCCGCCATACAGTCTCCACTGGCTGCGCGGGGGTTGAGTAATTCTGTGCACTGTATAGTAAGTTGGTTGAGCTCTGCACAAAGGAAATACGCACATAAAACGATCTCCAAAGGGAAGTAATGAGTTCCAAATAGCTGCTTTGTGTTGCCTTGAACCACCACAAAGTGTTTATTTAGATTCACTCAATTAGAAAGCTGATTTGTTTTTTATTTAAAGATTCAAAACAACATGTTGTCATGCCAATTGATGAGAATGGATGCATTATCTTTTTAGCCACGCTAGCAGGGCTAATGCCTATATGTCTAGTGTTTTGCACAGATATTCATGGTGCCCAGAGGATGTTCCAACGACTTTGATCATTCCTACATCATCATCATCATCATGAGGTTAAAATTTCTGTTCTGTAGTAAAATATCTCAACAACTATATGGATTGCCATGAAATTTGCTCCAGACATTCATGTCCCCCTGAGGACAAATGCAACAGCTTTAGTGATCCCGCAGCTCTCCATGGTAAATAATTGAATATCTGCGAGGCTAATGAAATTACACAATACACTAAGTTGGTGAAAACTTGTCCACAAGAGTCACATCCAAAGCATAACGCCTACTGATGTTCTGTTGGCATTTGTAGTTTCCCGACATGCTCGTTAAGTGAAATTATTATGGTACATTAATTGTTTTGACTCACCAAACTGCCAAAGTTCCTGCAGTTAATTGATATGCATTATATTGTTACATGCAATACTGTATGGCATTAGGTTTGCTCGGACACAGATCTTAGCACAGAACATCAGCCATTATTTCAACACTACTTCCTTGTACATACACACCATAGATGTGGCCCCCTTCACAGCTAGTGGGAGAATATTCATATCCCTAATTCTCTCTGTTAATCTCAAACTATAGTCCGGACAAACGGACGTCTGTCAGTTAAGCGTGACCTTTTATGATGACGTCACTTGAAAAATTGGACCAATGTCCCACGGAGCCGACATCCCCACATTTACATGAATGACAAATGCATCTGTGTGCAGTTGAATTCCCACTGCATGTGCAGCTGAAGCTCAGCCTGGTAGTACAACACACCCAACATCTCACATAGTTTGAATAAGGTAAAGACATTGAAGCAGAACAGCGCTTTCCATGGGATACAGGGGATTATGCTATTTCAATGGGACGTCGGTAGTCGTGTAACGCAAAACAAAACGTGGTTTTTACATTTCTTTATTACAGGAGATCCATAAAATTATGATGCCAGCTCGTACACGACCACAGAAAGGCTGTGACTTTGCAAGTGCGTCAATGGGGCAAACGTTAACATTTTGCATACACCGCAGGAATGGACAACCACGATGCAACAAAGGCTAATTGAACAGCTGTGTACAAGTCAGTCATGTCACCATAATAAGCTCAGTGTTGATAGCGTTTTACAGAATACATACTGTGATAACAACAATAATTCTGTAAAATTGAACAGTAGTTAGATCTGGGATTGAACCTTTGAAATAATCGTCTTTCCAACACACAATATATAGTGTAGGTGTGCTGTGTGCCTGTGGTCTTTGTCACAGTGGATAGAGCAGGCAATGACACAGTTAAACAAATATTAAGAGTTTAAGTTGCACTTAAGGATGTGATCATAAGAGCATATCAGTGTCTATTTGTCAATTTGGAGATTAAACACTTCCTATGCCAGTTGATTACATTGTCTGACCTCTTGGAGTTTTGGAGGAGGCGCTACCTGACGTCGCTCTATACATGATGCATGATTCTGATCATCTAATTGTCTAAAATAACAGACGCATAACAAGCAGCTCAAATGAAAATCAACCACAATTCCTTGAACAAAAGTGTGATCCATTAGAGAGCATACGTGACTATTTAAAAGTCCCGTCATTGGACATGTGGATGTAAAAACTTTATAAATGCGCTGTTTGCACATATACATGGACTAATATGTGGGCTAAATTGTCCTACCTTGTTAGAGGCCATGTCGCTGACAGAGCGGTAGGTCTGGATGGTCTCCAACTGGTCCAGACACCAGTCCAGCTCCTCCATGGTCTCCATAGACAGCTTCTGGTAAGACTCATCTGCCAACAGACACATGGACACGTATTCAGGCCCAAGAGGATCCATGTCCATAGCGGAGCCCCCCGACACCATGCGTGGAGGTCCGAGGGTCCCAGTGTGGCTTGATCTTACGGAGGACTGGCTCGCAGGACATCCGGGAGACGCAGAGGAAGAGGGGGAGGTGTGTACACACAGCTCCTTCATCTTATTACGCTCCTCCACCACCTCAGAGAGTTCGGACAAACTGAGGGCGAGAGTCACCGTTTGCAGACTCTCTCTCTGTAGTCTCCTTCTCTCCATAACCCCCCATTCCCTCGCTCTCCTCTAACCCCCTCCCACTCTGTCTGGTTCTTCCCGCCCACCCCCTCTCAGACTCTCTCATTTGCTCTCCCCCCCCCCCTCTTAGTATCACTCTGACTCTGCTGAACAAGTGGTGTGCAAACT